TAATTATAAATTTCAGTGCATGATAACGATGAGTTTAAGCGAATTTTTAACTCAGCTGCAATCATTTCTATCGACATACGATTTCTTTTATCGTTAAATAGATGTTTCATGGAAGAAAATGCACTTTGGAGGTATGAATTACTGCACGGAATCGAAAATATAAACGAAACTAATTTGTGCACGTTTGGAAATGGTGTTGGTTTGACAATAGGATGAGAAAGAGAATCCTCAATAAATAGACATTCTTTTTTTAAATCTTATATGTAAACAGAGGAAAAACAGCAAAAGCAGACAATTCTCAAAATGCGGACAAATAGCGGACAGCGGACAAATTGCGGAAAAAACTCCAAAATGCGGAATTTGTCCGTAAAATGTAGACCATCTGGGAAGTCTGAGCTGTACATACATTCGGCTTGCAAGTTGCATGTCTGAAAATGTATGAGACGTGCCTATGTTCGTGCATGTACAGGCAACGTACGTATCAAGAAATTGGTCTTGGGCATGTGAGTACACAAGCTTGATTCCAGTTTTCTCTAGTGGAAATCGATATTTCGCTAGGTAAAAGTGAAATCCGAATTTTTCCTGGTGAAATTTAGAATTTGACTAGATGAAACTAGAATCCAAGTTTTTTCTAGAGAAAACTGAGATGCATACATATGCCGATTCCGCTTATCTCTAGTGAAATCTGGAATTTGGTCAGATAAGAGTAGAATTAATGTAATGGGAATAGATTTCAAGTTATAGAAACAAAATAAATATTTTACAAAGATGAATGAACAATCACATTGTCTAAATGTTTCTTCTCTTCCCCCCTCCCCCTCCAATGCCGTACTCTTCGTCACACAGAAATGTCTGTTGACGAGTTGTTATCTTTCTCTTGTTTTTACATCGATTAAATAGAGATAATAGCTGTATTGCTGTTACACAAAGTATATTGGACAAAACAAGAATAACACGCGATTATCGCCATACAAGAATAAAAGAACAGAAAATATCTACAAACAATAAAATACGCAAAAAAACAAACATGGTACAATTAAATTAAAAATTTTCTTTATTATTAGCACAAGATTTATTTTTTATATGGCATTTTGTTGAGCAGGTTATCTTCGCTTTCTTACAGGGGCAACGATTAGTCGAACATTTAGTTTTACAATCACACGTAGCATTATTCACTGCATTACGAGATCGATATTTGTAAGCTTGAATAAATGTTATTTCTTCTAATAATGTCTCATTTAATGAACGCAATTCAACAGGAACAACAGATTGCATATCAACAAGACTTTCTATCGAAAAAGAAGAACTGAATTTTTGCATCCGTATTGGTACGATCAACTTTATTAACTCGCACCCGAATGCAGTCACCAACGTTATACACAGAAGACAAATTTTTCATATGAGAATTTTTGGCGTTTAGTGGTCTCATTAAGGTAATTTTCTGTCGCAAATTTTCGAATTTCACTATGTCGAGAAAATATAGGACTACCTGTTAAAATTGGACAATGAACAACATGTTTAGAATCAACTAAATCACCCCGGACAACCCTAGCACCTTCGTCGGATTCACTTGTAACGAATGTTGAATTAGCACCTGTTGAAATGACAACTGTATTATTAAAAGAAGTATCCGGAGCAGTATTAACGACAAAATTTGAATTTTTTTCATCAGCTTCTGAACTATCAGTAGTCACATCGAACTTATTCATAACAACAGCCAATTGTGGATCATTCACATCATTGTGCTCATCATCAACAACAACTTCATTATCATCATTTTGTAACAAATCAAGAATCTCTTTTGGAAGATCATCATGTTCAACAGCACCATCAATCTGAATACTGTCCCAAAATAAACAGTTTGAACGGAGATGTTGTCCAAATATAATCTGATAAGGCGTACATTTTATACCAAAAGACTCTCTGGTATTAATACCATAAACTACAGGTAACAATGAATCTGACCAATGATTTGACTTTGTGCATGACATCCATTTTCCAATAGCTGAACATAAAACTGCATTGGCACGCTCTATTGAACCCTGGCACTTTGGATTACGCGGACGCCCATGAACAATCAACATACTCGGAAAAAGATGTTTTAAATCAACGACAAGTCTGTTAATGAATTCTTTGCCGTTATCGCTATGTAGTACACGACAAGGTCCAAATGGAAAATAATCGCTCGTAAATGAAGAACAACTTCTATTGCGGATTTTGATTTCAATGCAAAAGCCCATGTGAACTTTGAAAAGTGGTCTTTGCAGCGCAAAATCCATCTGTAAATAAGATCTGTACTAACGACATCAGGACGACTTCGCATATCTACCAAATCTATCTGTGCTCTTGTCATTACTCCTACAGAGATAATTGCTTTAGATCCAATAGGTATTTTAATACTTTTACGTGTTTGACATTCAAGACATTGTTTCACAAAAATATCAACAAAAACATGAGAAACCCACGCGTAATTCGCTTGAATTTCTTTTAATGTTTTGTCTCTTCCTCCATGGGATATTCTTCTGTGGCATTCTCCAGTGATTTGAAAAAATGATTCGTAAAGTACAACGGACTTGAGACTTTTTATATCACAGACAATGTCAATACCAGCAGTACTTATTAACACAAAATTATTTTTTGACCAAAAAATAAACTTCGCTGAGAGATAACCAGTTTTACCTTTCTCTAATTTCAATGCTACCATGATATCGTCGTAGATCCTCTTGTTAATAACAGCTTTTGTACGATATTGTTCCTTTAATGATGAAATGTAATTATCGGTTTCTTTGAAAAAGTCACCTTGCCTAACATTGCCCACAGCTGTTATTGTGATGACTAAACATTGAGCTGCTGTTGTTATGATGCTTAAATTAGGAGCATTTATAGTATTGGACGTTAAA